ATCCTGACTCAGTTCCTGAGTCAGGCGCCGTGACTTGGTGGACACGTCGAGCTGGGGCCGTGGGCGCGCGAGCCTTATGGCGATACTTGCCGGATCCGACCACCGCCTTCTTCTGGCGGTGTTTCGCGCGATCCACAGCCCGCAGCACTTCTTCGAGCTCATCTGCGTCTGGAAGACGTAACAGGGTCAGCCTGTCGGCCAGATCCACATCTCCCAACGTCTCGATAAAGTGATCCACGTGTTCCCGCAGTACCTTGGATCCCCCATCCTTGATCTTCCACTTGGCCCGTAGACCGGCCACATTTAGTCGATGTAGGTATTCCAGCGGGGATTCATCCGATCTGCGGCGAGCATGGTAGTATTGTCGTGCCACCGACACTCCCAATCCACAGTACTGGGTCTGGAAGCTGCGCAGCAAATCCGGCCACTTGTTCCTGGTGGATCTGCCCAGCTGCCGATACCAGTTCCTGGCTGGCCCCGCTAGCAGATCCGCAAAGGTCAAACACTTCTCAGCATCCGACGCTTGATCTCTCATGAGGGCCGACTTGACTTTGCTGATCCATGTTCTCGCTCGGTCCTCATCTTGATCCTTGCCCGTGAACTCCTTCAGGTCCGATATGGCTGAGATCCGTACCCTCTGGATCATGGATGATCCATCTGCCCCGGCTGTGGCTGTTGCTACCACTGCTGACGAAGTGGATGGGCCATCCAGATCATCTGGGTCGAACTCATCATGGAAGTCGTCTGCCTCCACTGACTTAATTTCCACGTCTCGTGCTCCATGTTCGTGGAGCACTTGCACTTGTGGCATGGGCGCTCTCATACCCTGTTCGGCCAGGAAACGACTCATCGCAGCTTCGAAGTGCCGCTGCAGGGTGCCCGAGGAAGTGTCGGAAGAGCCTGTGGCCGTCTGGTCCACTGGCGAGACAGGATCCGTGAGACGATTACCTCGAGCCTGATCTGACGATAATCCCACTGGCTTCTTGCTGGATCTGGCTCGATCCTGGATGGATTGTGTCAGATCACGCGTAGGGCCTACTGGATCCCGAGCCTTCACGTTCACAGGGGCTTCCTGTCCTCGGACCCTCGCCCGCGCTTCCAGCATGGATGCCCCGGAGGGTCCTAAAGTCATGCGTCGTGGTTCGGACGACGTGTCTGACTCATCCTCAGCGGCGGATTCGTAGTTCGAGGACGCAGCTTGGCTGATCCTCGGCGATGACACTGGATCCATAGTGCGCGACCTTTCTCCGGTGATGGACTTAACTCTGGCAAGGAGGTCCTGCGTCGCGGATGCTATGAGATCCAGATCTAGCCCGAAGATATCCTCTGCGTCGAACACACCAGCTACGATGCCTGACTCCGTAAGCAAACGTAATAGATCCTTGACTGCCACCAACTTGTTCGCCGTTTTCGTTGGTGCTCTCACCGGTTCCCTTGGATCTTCGATCTGTCGTGGTATTAGGATCTGCATGACAGGATCTTGATGCAGGCAGTCGCGTAAAGCTTGGTGGCGATACACAAACTCGAGATCCTTGTCGGACCAGCTTGACCTGGATCCAGCTTGGTCTTCTTCCGACTCTGGAGCTTGCATCTTCTTCCGCGTAGTCTTACTCATCTTCGTCTTCTTTCTCGTTTCTTCGACTAGCGGGCTTGGGTTTAGGTACGATGTTGGCTTAACCGGTGAATCTGCAAATGCATACCGTTTCGCCTTCACTTTCCCTTGTTTTGTTAGCGGATCTTGACTTGCGTCAAGATCCGCAGGGGTCCCCGAGGGGACCTGGGGAGGATAGAGAGGTTTCTCTTCTAGATCCGGATCCGGATCCACCTCTCTTCCGTCGACAGAGTTCCTCCCAAAACTCCATCGATCCGCGGATCTTGTTTCATTCAGCAGCGTCTTCGTCGATCCGACCTCCGACGACGCCTCTTCCCCTGGCTCAATCTTCACTTGAGCATCTTCTTGGGACTCACGGTGAAATCCCGAGTCACCAAAAGATCCGGGCACGCGCACCATTGTGGTGTAGCGGGATCAGCAAAATCTGCGAGATTGCCGGATCCAGCTTACCAACTGCACCCAGACACCGACTAACGGAGGGGGTTTCCCGATGATCCGTGTTCTGCTGAACTTTCCTCACCTTGTGTACCCGTCGGTAGGGCGGGATCTTGCTCTCTCGGTAACTTCCGAAGAGTTCAAGTGGTGAAGCTTGAGCGTCTTGGCGAGACGTGGGGATGGGGTGGAGCAGCAGTGGAAAATCTTCACTCTGCGTCCGTGGATGGTTCCGTATCCTAAGCGAATATTCGAGCTTATGGATCCGGGGCCTAGATCGTGGATCTGGCCGTAGGGTTGCCTTGCGGGTGTGTTCCCTTGCCTTTGTAGTTCCTTTGCGTCGTACTTGCCGCCTCCTGTGACGGGATCTTGAAAGTTGAGAGCCCCTAGGGTGTAACCGACCAAGTAGTAAATTCGGGTTAACCTGTCGGATCTGCACAAGTAAAGGAAAAGCTCACTAGGTGTAGGATCTGGCCAATGTATTATCCAGTTATCACTACCAACACTAGATTCGCAATTCCCAACCTTCTCCTAGCTCGTACGGCCAATGTAGTTCCGGTTCTTGAGGGCAGGAAGGCACTTGCGTGTTACTGTGCAAATTGAGGTCTGTATTGATATTTAAGCCTATACCTGCCTGGATTTCTACCTTCTATGTCTTCTACTCGTTAAATCCCTTACCAGGCTCGGCTGCATGTCCCTTCTTCCCTTGACCCATCATCCCAGCTGTGTTATCTTCAGATCCACCGGATCTATGACGTAATCATCATGGTCACCCTATTATGGGTACACTCATCCGGATCCAGGTCGTTTGGATCCACCTCACTGTAAGTGTACACTCGTCGTGGATCTGAGCTCTCCAATCATCCAACATCATCTCGCAACCGTCTCTGATCTCCATTGTCCCACGAAAGTTCGAGATCCACTGCATCCATCATCCCTATACCCTGGATCCAGGTCCCTCAAGGCGGGACCCTCCCTCCATGGATCCGAACTCGGAAGTATGGGATCCGGGGTACCTCGCGGTGGATCTTGACTCTTCATTAGCCGTGGCTACTAGATCCACCTTCAGAGGGCACCGACCATCCTTCCTTCATAGGATCCACACTCGATCCACTCTTGTATAGTATATCCCATATCCATCTTAGTGAATCCAGGTAAGGGTGGATCCGAGATAAGTCTTGGTGGATCTTGCCTTCTCGTACGTCGCTCATATCAGATCCATCGTCATTCCATACGGGGTGCTGCTCGCCATGGCTAATCCACCACAGGCAACTTGCATCCGTGCCAGCCAACCAAATCCTCTCTAATCACTTGAAATTGTCACTGATTCGGGATAGTGACCCCGCGTCAGGCCCAATCTCTTATTTCTGAAAAAGCACTTCACCACAGAAACGAAGCCGTGCTGTACCACCTGCCCTGTTGTGCATCCGGTAAGCACCTCCATGACGGCGTAACGCCGTTCCCTCCCCTCCGATTCACCGTATAACGCCCAGTACTGACGAGTTTTTTCCACGTGTCAGTTCTAGATTTCCCAATCGCGCAGACCACCCTCCAGAACGAGTTTAGAGCCACGCGTAGTACCCCAAGCCCCCGTCGCTCCTCTTCGTGCCCAGCAGGTAGCACTGGCCAGCATGTCTGGACGCGAGATGTTGCGAACACTAACAAGCTTATCTGTTTACGAGTCTTTAGGCATGCTTCAGCGCTAAAGAAGGGGGGGGATTGTGGTCTCTTAGCGTGCTTATAGCACGCAAAAGCACGCTAAAAGACCACAATCCACGATGATGCGGCCAACGCAAGGCACAGTGCGATGCCTTCATGAGCAAGGTTGGAGAACGTATAAAAGCTTATCTTTGTCGTGAAAATGCAGATTTCTTTCGTCGGTGTAACTCATCCATGGGTCAGCTGTAACTCCTGAAAACCATTGGCGCGTACGTGTAGCGTGACTTGATGGATGCTAACAGGTGCCATGATTCACCCATGTTTTTAACATGTGCTAACCATGTATGATCTGTGCTTATGTCATTCTCTATTCAGAAAGAAAACCGCACCACTTATGCTAGCCATGCAGCTGACGGGCACCAACAAGGACTGGGTGTTCATGCCGTTGAACGTCAATGGAAATCATTAGATTGTCTTGTTGTCAACCGACCGCGGCAGGCTATATACTGCTTCGACAGTTCTGACAAGCGCGTTTACCACAACTTACTGGAAGAGCTGGCACAGGAATTAAATCAGATAGTTATGAAGCAACAGTACGAGATTGTTGCTGTCCACAGCCCTGTCCAGACTGACAGCAACAATTGCGGTTTGTCTGTCTGTACTTTTGGCGTCGGGTGTACAAGGAAGCTGGCAGCGACTACTCCGAGACTGGGTTGCTGCGCCGTCGCTGGGATGTGCTTCAATCAGTTATTGAGCTCAGCGACTGTTGCAAGAAGGGATACGAGAATAACAAGTGATCAATACATGTTTTGTTCCATGTTTTACATCTTTTGCATGTTTTCAGCGTCTTGAAGTGTGTAGACGTACATTACGAAAAGTAGTTTCAACACATGACAGACAAGAGTGCGAAGTGTAGCCGACAGACTGAAAGTGCGGTCACTCTTGATTTTTCACGCCTTGCTGTCAATATGTTCCGCCATGTTTCAAAACATGGTAAGCATGTACCGAATAAATTACAGATCCTGTAAGAATGTTCGTAATTTATTTTGAGAAAACATGCATCCCTTTTGTTTTGACACCTAACCCTTTTCAAAAGCATGGCAGCCTTTTTTTCAAAGTGTACAAAATTTGCACACTTTGCAAGGTGTCTATTTTTTTATGTCGCGCGAAGGTCGTTCCTAAATGTCCAAGCCAAAAATGCTGCCACACTTTTTTGGTGAAGCAAATAGTGTAAGCTACCAGCGGGCGGTCTCTTCATAGACGTCGCCTGTTCATTCAGTGTCCAAGATAGAATTGGTCGGGTGAGCGCGGTGACCCCATCAATCGGTCATCTCTCGTCGACTTCGGCGGCCCCAACCTTCAGCCGCCTTACACACTTCAACTGGAACAGGCAGCTAAGGCTTGCTCGGCTATGGGCAAGCGAAGTCGCGGCAGCAGCGCCACCAGCAGCAACGTCATGAGTAGTGTGCCTAGCTCTACGTCTACCACCAACTACGGCACGATTGTGGACCTGGAGCCGGGGCCTCCGCCCGAGACCCGCCCTGCCGCAAGTGCGCTTGTGGGCCCGGTGCCTGCTGGTCCTGTGACGACTTCAACCTCCAAATCGTATGGGCGTGATGGCAAGAATATATGGGATGAGTATTATCCGCTTGTGCAACCGGCGCACCAGTATCACCACCGCAACGACCGCGGCTCGTCCAACTATTTCTTCCACGGCATGTTCTCGGCCGACGTCATGTGGGCCTATCGCGACGCAGTCATCGCCTACCTCGTGTCGCTTTACTCAATGGTGGTCCTCTCGCTCACGGGCTTGGTGTTCTGCAAACAGTGGGGAATCTCGCCTAACACACCCACCGTGTTCGTCTTCCGCTGCCTTTGGTTCATCAGTCCAGCGGTAGCATCACTCGCTCTACGGAACAGTACGTTGGAAGTGGACATGAACGGAAGCAAATGGATGTGATACTGACAATGTCGCTATAATTTTGTTATGGCTATAACAGTTGCGAAACTGAGGCTCCAGGCCTGCAACACGCCACCACATTGGAACATCCCGCCGCTGTATCACCTATTCAGGAGTTCCCACTCATCAAGATCGACATTACGACTTGCACTGCTTAGCTACGCGATCCCAGTCCTGTGTGAATTGGCTGCATTTTCATTTACTGCCGCGACAAGGATGGTCAACCCGGTGCGTCAACTCGGTTAGAAGAGTTTTATTCGATGATCTTTTGACATTTATTGTGCATGCAGTTCAACCGCACCTTCGTGCGGAAACTGGAGATGGTATTCAGCTTCAATGATGTAGAAGCGCTCGACTCTGGACTTGTTTTCTACGTGTTTTATATCAGCTTCCTTGGGATCTTTTGGGATCCGGTCCCGCCGCAGCGATACGACGTCGGGCTTTCGATGGGTCTCCGACCTTTAGGTGACGTCATTCGCCTTCATCGACGGTCATCGTACACGCTATACCTTTATTGATTTGATATTGCCTGTGTTGATTGCTCATGGAGTAGGTACAAGCTGGTTTTTCTTCGCAATGATTCAGGAAATTGGCTGGAGCGGATCACTTTTTCCAGGTAACGTTTTTCTTTGATTGCGACTCTAGAAGATTTGTTTTTACAAAGAATGGACATTTTTTATATACTGCAGCGCTGGAGATCGTTTTCAGCCATTCGACCATCCTCGCGTCGGCTATTACTGGGTGCATATGGGCGCTGTGGCACTGGCCCATGATCATCGCCGACGCGCTGGACGTGGTGCCCAAGGGCTCTGGTTACTCTGTCGCTGAAACGCGGGACTTCCACCTACTCTACGTACTGGCAATATTTACGCTGTTACTCGTGGGCTCCCGCATCATTATGTGCTGGATCCAGGGTAACTCCAGCTACGTCATTTGGTCCAGCGTCGTTTACCACTCCACCCACAATCTGTACGTCGTTCTTCTCAGTGTTTCGTTGAAATGGACCCTTGACTGACTAACTTTGGCTTGCTTACGCTTTATCTCTCAGTTTTATTATCTCAGTATTTGGGCAGCTGACTGCCCCATTGTACGAGAAGGCCCAGCTCTTTAGCTTCTTTAGCTCGGAGGCGTCAATTTGCCTGCTTGTGACTGTGTGGTTCTCCACTTGCATCCTCTCGCAGATGTTCCGGTGGACCAACCTAATGCCAATGCTACGCCGAGCGAATCCCAGAGTCACGCGGGCGCTCGCAGCCTAATACTAGTAGTACGTAACTACTACTGTAGTAGTATTCCGCTTCCAAATGTAATAACGTTAAAAAGTTTAAAGATCATCGTTGAAGTTCTTGTATTTAGCGGAAGAGCCACTGTACTATTACTCGATTCAGAAATGAATTGGACACAACAAATTTTGATTTGGTACACAGTCAGCTGTGGACGGCGTCTGCCGCAGTCCAGTCTCGCTGTGTGATTGGCATCGATCTCCATGGGCTTCTTGCCTCTCCTTGGAGCGGCGGCTGTGGCTGCTGGCCTGAGCAATGCACACCGTGTCCACACCAGCTCTATCGCGCTGCAGACGCCGACTGTGATCCTGCAGCAGGTAGACTTTGAGGCGTCGATCGAGCTGCCGGAGCTCAAGAATGGTTCGTGATTTTGTACAGTCTCCGTTGCGGCCTTGCAATTCCAAATCAACTAACATTTCTATAGGGTCTGTATACCCGAAGCATTTGTGGTATCGCGTAGAGGATTCGGACGGGTCTGTTGTGACCAATGGCACCGTCAAGACGCTCGATGTCGATGGCAATTTCAGGTCTCAGCTGTCGATCCCTATCAAGCAGTTGCAGTTGGACTCTTATGGAGAGCACAACCTCACTACAACCGTGTGGGAGGAACAGAAGATTGAGTCGCTAACGCAATCGCCTGAAGTGAATGAATCAATCGCCAACACCTCGGTGCTGCTTACGTCGACGGTACAACTCGATGAGGTGCAATTCGACGATGTGCTGCTGTTCCGTGCTACTCACACTACCGTAGTAGTTGTGTCACCGGGGTGGGTATCACTGCTACCACCACTGGTGACTCTGGTAATGTCGGCTGTGCTGGGCCAAGTAACAGTATCGCTTCTGGCCGGTATCTGGTGTGGCGCCATCATCGTCTCAAATGGAGACCCGTTCACGGCTTTCCTGCGCACATTCGACCAGTACTGGGTGAATGCGTTTACAGTGGACGATCACGCTGGTGTATTGCTATTCACGATTGTTCTTGGTGGGACTATTGGCGTGGTTCAGAAGGGTGGAGGCGGCCACGGTTTAGCGCTGGTTGCCAAGAAGTTTATGACGTCGTCTCTGCGTATGCAACTGTCGACCTGGCTATTGTGTCTTGTCATCTTCTTCGATGACTACTCGTGTATCCTGATTGTTGGAAGCTCGCTACGTCAGGTGCTGAGTCAGACGGGTGTCAGTCGCGAGAAGTTTGCGGCTATTATTCACACTGTCGGCGTCTGCTTGCCATCCATGTGTAAGAACCTTGATCAGACCTACCGTTGCTGCTGTAGTACCTAACTAAGTTTTTTGCTAACATTTAATGATTGTGTTTGCAGCTCCTGTAAGCGCATGGATTGGTGTAGAAATCGGCTACGTCGCCGCACAGCTCCGCGATCTGAATCTCGACTGGGACCCGTTCGTCACGTGTCTTTCGTGTCTGCACTACCGTTTCTTCCCGATCCTCTTCATCGCTTTTATTTTCATCACGATCATTTGCGAGAAGGACTTCGGCCCAATGGTGCAGTTCGAGAAGGACGCCGCTGCATCGCCGATCAACGACGGTTCCATGACTCCAGTGTATCCGGGACCGATGGACAGCCCCAAACCTGAACTCGCTCCGTTGGAACCTGACACAACTAAACCTCTGCGGTGGCAGAATGCTGTGGTGCCGTTCCTCAGTATCGTCGTGCTGACCTTCGTGGGGATGATTTTCGACGGCTTCGACAGTTTGTACAGCCAAGACCCCAATGGCTCCTTCGGGATTCTGGATGCGTTAAGCCACTGCGACTCAGTGTCGTCGCTGATCCGTGCATCTGCTGCTGGATGGGTTATTGCAGTCACGCTGTTGTTGTTGCAGCGTATCGTCACACTGAACGAAGCTACCAAGGCTTGGATGGAAGGCGTTAAGGATATCCTGGACCCGACATTGATTCTCACACTCGCGTGGGCTCTTGGCTCGGTAATTGGTGAAGTTAGCACGGCTCCGTACATCGCTTCGGTGGTTGGAGATTCGATCCCGAAGCAGTTCTTGCCGGCCATCGCGTGTCTCCTTTGCTACCTCGTGTCGTTCGCAGTTGGCAGTGCGTTTGGCACAATGGCCATCATGTTCCCCATTCTCGCGCCGCTATCGTGGTCTATTAGTGGCGGTGACGCTGAGAACCTGCGTCAATGCTTCGGTAGCATCCTGGGCGGCTCCGTGTTCGGCAACACGTGCTCACCGATCGCCGATACGTCCATCTTGGCGTCTCTTTCCGCGCATGTGCCGCTGGAAAACCACATACGAAGCATCTTGCCGTATGCTGTATTGGTGGCTGTCGTGTCCGTTGCTGGTGGGTCCCTGCCGATTGGTCTGAAAATCTGCAGTACGTTCACGGCATTCGGCATCTGTCTCGCTGTGCTGCTACTTGTCGTGTTCTTCTGTGGCACGCGTGTCAATATGCGTTACCGATCGCTGTCCTCGTGCAGCTTCATGAGCGTATCGCCTCCCATGCGATACGAGGGTGAGAACCAGCCACTGCTATCGGCATAGGCTCCAGTGCTCCAAGATTATCCGTGATGTTGAGCTCGTTGCAGTGCAACTTGCATGAAAGTGTAGCCATGTTTAACGCATCGGATTGGTAGTTAAGAATTTATATCAATTTTGTCCAATCAAAAGCTGTATTGTGCAGCCATTCCATCGTCACCTGCCAGTCAAAGAGCATGGCGGACTCGGAAGAGCTGGAGCTGACACCTACCAGCAACCCGTACCTGGATTTCTACCGCAAGTTCGTGCGTGAACACCCAGGAGATCTCACAGCGGTTTTTGACCCGGAGCTGAGCGATGAAGCGCGCTCCGAGATGTATGCGGCGCTGGACGTGAGCGTGGCGATGGTGCGAGCTTCACTGGACTGCATTTCTTTGAGATTTTCGGCGCTAACCTTCAGTTGTAAATCAATGTTAATATGTAGAAATACTCGTGGGCAATTCCTGATGAGCGTGCGCTGCAGATTATCAAACATTATGGACCGGTGAGCTGCAGTCACGTCTTGGGTGCCATGGCTTAATTGACAGTTGTGCTGGTAGATTGTAGAGATGGGAGCAGGTAGCGGATACTGGGCTCGCCTGTTGCAGCTACGTGGCGTGGATGTTGTCGCCTATGATCTGCACGTTGCTGGAGAAGAAGAGGAGAAGGAACAAGAGGGTGACGATCAAGAGAAGGAGAATGGTAAAACTGCTGCTACGAGTGGCGAAGAGAGTCATGGCGATGCCGAGGAGACACAGGGCAGCGGTGGCGAAGAAGCAGATGAAGAGCCTGATGAGGAAGAGGAAGAAATTGAAGAGGAGAGCGAGGACGAAGAAGAGGTGGAAGTGGAGCAGGTCTACTGGACGGATGTGCTCAAGGGAACACCTAAGGTGCATGACACACGGTGACACTGTACAGATCCAATGCTCGATTATACTGATCATTCCCTACTGCGACAATGAGCAGGACTTACGTAAGCACGCGGACCGCGCGTTATTCCTGTGCTATCCGGACGATTTCGAAGACAGCCACGAGTCAATGGCGATGGCAAGCCTCTGTAATTACGCAGGGGATACTGTGATCCATGTCGGAGAGTTATTCGGCCAAACTGTTTGCCTTCCTGGCGCTTGGTGAGTGCAGTTTTCATTGTTCGTGAAGCTGAAGCCTTTTTTAACGCAGTGTTGATGGTACAGGGGGCGAACATCGTCTGAAGAGTTCCAAACTCACTTGGCGACTGTGTACCACAAGGTGCTGCAGGTGCCACTGCCTTCATGGCACTCCAGCATTGACACGCTGACAGTGTGGAAACGTACAAAATCTTCCATCACGGATGGGGCGATGTACGCGTTTATCCCGGAGGAAGAGCGCATCGATCTCGTTGCTGCTTCTCCATCCACTCGTCATTTGTTGCTTCTTGGCATCTCTGGAACAGATCCCACAACGACGTCGAAGTCGAAGAAGAGAGGTCGAGGCAAGAACAAAGCTAAACAGGTCGGAGATGACGAAGATATTGAGCGTAGTAATGACGAAGAAAACCCAAAGAAATCCGCAACTACAGCGAAGAAGGGCAAGCGTGCAAAGAGTTCCTGATAGAGCCAGCCTGATGCACCCTAGAACTTGTGACGATACAGATTCATAAGAGTTTTATCCCAGTATGCCTCGAAATAGGTTTGCTATCCTTGACAATACTCGCACAATTTGAGCGTTGTCAGCTTTATGACGAAGCCACGACGGTCGCTGGCATATTCGGCAGAATATGAGTTTGGCGACGACAACATTCTAACCGTGGCTTACTTTGAGGAGAATAGAGTCCGAAATCAACGGCGAATCAAACATGCGCACTCGGTCATAGACACGGAAGCAGGCATACGCACCGTCAATAATGCGAAAAAGCTTCAGCAAGAGCAAGGTGCGCGTTGGTGAATCACTTATCAAGTTCCTAATCTCGACATTAGAGACCCCCTAACTCCATTTGAGCAGACAGAGAGATCGAAATCGCTCAGCACAACCAACTGTTACTAGATCGACTCGAACGCATCCACAAAAAGCTCCCGAAGCAGTTTGACGTCTCACATCACACCCAGGAGCATCTGGGCATCCAAAGTCCATCAAACTACTCTCAATGGCAGCGCGAACAAAAGCGAATCGCAAAGGAAAACGAGAAAATGAGACGACGGATAGAGCAGACCAAGTCGATGTTCAACACCAAGCAGCTCACAGCCGATGCCGACAAATACCTCTACTACTCGGAGAAGCTTTCGAAGATCGATCGACGGATGCATTTGAAGGAAAAATGGAAACAGCTCAGTCTTCAGCCCAGTGCTAAGCGAGGAAATAGCGATAGTCTCCGTCATTCACCGTCCAAGTCATTGTATGGCCACAAACAACGTCACCAACGCACAATCGAAGGCATCCCACTCGAAAGTCGCCGCGACGCGAACGAATTACCCAGACTCCGCGCAAAATCTGAAAGCAAATATGCTGCACCTGCTGAGATCTTCCCTACTGTGACCAACACGTCGAAACTCGTGCAAGCGGCAGACTTGTTGCCTCGACTTGGACTCTGACCCAAAATGTAGCCATGTGTCTTCAACTTGCGGATTTTCTGCTATCAAATTGCTTCGTAGCTCCCATAATGAGCTCACTTGGAAACCAACAGACATGCGAGTCGTACTTCCGGGACTCAAGACGTCGCTGAGGCACCAGACAGCCTTGCGCCACTACCACGCGACACAGCCGCAACCATGGCTTGTCCCCGTGGGGCTTACATGCGCGGGTCTATTCTTGGGTACGCGCTACATCCTACGAGCCCAGGAGCGAGTGCGAAGACGACGCGCGGGATTACCGGGCGAGGGGGATGAGGGTGAAGGGACAGAGGAAGGATCGTCACCCTTAAGTAAAATGCAGCAGGTTTTAGGAGTAGATGTGGGATCATCAAATTTACGTGTGGCGACGGCCTCGTTGCTGGATTCGGCGCATGGTGCGCGGGTGATCGAGAGCGCAGATGGATTGCGAGCGACTCCAGCGGCGGTGGCGGTGGACAATGGCAGCGTCTCGATCGGAGCAATTGCCAAGGCACTACAGGGACGAAAACCAGGCCACACAGCGACTGCAACAAGGCTCCTTCTTGGACCTGCCACTAAAGAGAGAGACGAGCTTATCAACAAGCTGCCGTATACGGTGCATCAACGTGGAGAGACGCTGGAGATAGAGCTAGATGGGAAGACCTACAGCCCTGAGGTGGGTTGACAAATTTCTCGTGGTTGAAGGTTAGACACTGACTTTTGCACACTATTTAGTGGGCTACTGAGATCATGTTGGACCATTTGCATAGCACCGCAGCGTCTTCGTTAGGAGAAGATCCAATTGAAAACTTCCCGGCTGTCCTTGCAGTCCCCGCGGGGACAAATGAGCACGAGCGCGCAGCGTATGAAAAAGTGGCGGACAGCGCGGGATTTACTGTATTTGCAGCAATTGACGAGCCTGTGGCTGCTCTTCATGCGGCGGAGGAGTGTGCGATTCAGGAGCTGCAAGACGCTGAAGCATTGTTGACGAAAGGTCCAATTGCAGTGCTCGATATTGGAGGCTACGTATCGACGATGTCGTTGCTCAAGAAGGAACGTCGTAGTGGCGGATTCAAGCTACTTCACACGCTGTCGACTCATGCGATTTCAGGCCACCAAGTGAACGAGCTTCTGTTCCGTTCGGTGGTAGAAAAGTTTGAGCAGGATCACGGAATTGATCTGTCAGTAGACTACATGGCCAGTTATCGCATTCTAGAGGCGGTGGAGTCTGCGAAAGTCGAATTGTCCAGTCGCGTAAGCACCGACATCAATCTCCCGTTCATCACTGCTGACCAGAAGGGAGCCAAGCACTTGGTTCATAGGATCACATCGTTTGACCTCGCGCGCGTTCAGGAAGGCCCCGCTAGAGAAGCGATTGCACTTTGCAACCAAGTATTGAACGAGGCCAGTGTATCTAAGGAAGATCTTAGCGCATTCGTGCTCATCGGTGGGGGTGCAAAGTCCGAATTTATGCGAGAGCAGCTTGAAACTTTCTTCAAGCTATCTGCATTTAGCACAAAGAACTTCCGTCCTGAAGAAGCTGTGGCCCTAGGTGCCGCGGAATATGGCCGCAAGTTAGTGCAAGAGTACTAAATAAAACCTAAAATAATGGTGCAATCAGGAATGCCAGTCGTGTACTTGGTTTTTATGCGTAGCTCAATAGACTGGTGTTAGCTCGACAAGTTGGCAGACTTGACCATGTAGCAGTGTTTTGCTCCTTCCTCCAGGTAAATCTCGTCGCTTGGGCAGTGGTAACCGCACTTCTCGTAGAACCCCTTGCGTCCGTACTGTGAGGACAGCACGAACAGGTCCACCCGGTCACGTACGTGTTCCTCGATGGCGTCCATGAGCTGCACGCCGAAGTTCTTACCCCGACACTCCGACAGCACCGCAACTCGACCGAACTTTGCCTTGCGGTTCGCTTCGTCGAGTAGACAACGAGCCACTGCCACGTACTCGCCCGTCTCGGAGTCTTTGCCCACAAAGTGGATCGTGGTGGGCTTGTCGTCACTGGGATCCTCAGTCTCCACAGCTTCGCGGAATCCTTGCTCATCAATGAATACGCGACGACGCACAGACATCGCCTGCTGCATCTCGTCAGCAGTCATTACGGCGGTCACGATCAGTGACATCGTGCCTGGCGTTGGAGCTAAATTGGGAAATGTCTAGTCGGATTAATGCTGTCACAGCATTGCTGTGGTTGGACCGAAGGATTGTTGCATCAACTGACCTCGATGAGATGAGCGAAGTTATTAATAAGACGTCAAGCAATCGAGGATGACCAGCTCAACAGCTGGTGTACATGAATCAATTTGGCGATGCCATTCACATGTCGAAGCCATGATTTTATGAGCATTTAAGATCTTCTCGCTACGCCTTGGCGGCCTTCGCCATCCAGCAGTGCGGGACGCCTTCGTCGAGGTGGATCTCGTCAGGGGTGCGTTGGTATCCACACTTTTCATAGAATCCCTTCTTGTCGAGCTGTGCCGAAAGCTTTAACGAGTCTACGCGGTCTCGGATGTGGCGCTCCATGCCTTCCATCAACGCGACGCCGTAGCTCTTGCCGCGGCATTCCTGGAGCACTGCCACGCGACCGATCTTGGCCGAGCGTGTAGTCTCGTCCATCAACACACGACCGACAGCGACGTACTTGTCCTGCTCAATGTCCTTGCCGAGAAAATGAATTGTGGAGGGCTCATTGTCGTGTTCGTCAAACTCAAGCACCGGGTCGAAGCCTTGCTCCTCGTGGAAAACTCGCAAACGGATATCCTTGGCCTGCTGGAACTCCGCCGGTGTCGCCACAGACGTCACTAGCAATGTCATGTTGGCGGTAAGTCGGAGAATAACTCACCACACTGGCCACTCGACGACAGACCTGCTGCTCATCCAAACCGCAGACCGGATGACCACTCATCAATTCGTCGAACCCATGCCACCTCGCTCTGCCTCAAATATGACAAATTAATGTCGAGGTGTGGCACGGAAACGGTTTACCCAGCGGGCAGCCGCAGCCCACTGGTTTAGCCACTGGGCACTTCATGTATATACAGTATTACGGTACAGAAACTCCAAGTGATGATCGTCTGGCAGAAGCTGAGCGCGGACGCTGGCACGAGCACACGACACATGGATGACATTGACACGATGACTGGTACACATATATAATATATTGAGGCTTTGCTAGCAGGGTGATATTGAAGTTGCGAACCATTTGCATCGAATTTCATCGCTGCAAAACCGCCGCTGACTCTGAATCAAGAGTCGCACGGTACCGGTACCAGTGTATATCCATAGACCAAATGTTGCTGGAACACAGGTTGTGTCGTCAACAAAGAGCGGACCACACCGCAGTAATGCGCGCTATTAATACTTACGAAGTGCTGCACAGTACAGGTACCTGGATCCAGTACATGTACGTACCAAGTGCTTTTAATAACAGAACTGTGTCTACAGTATTACTACGGCGCTACTGAGTCAGATGGCAAAGAGCTCTAGGTCGCTTATGCTGGCAGCAAACTCCGCGTTGCCTTTTACTGTATAGTGCGAACGTGCATTTCCAGTTGGCCGCGTTTACGGCAAATGCGGAACACGCAGTCTTTGAAGCTCGCCTACAATGCTTTCCGAACAGCCGAATGTGCTGCTCTCGCTGCGAACCCCATTGTTTCTTCAATCGAGCTCTCTGGGATGCAAGCTTCGATGGGAATGCTCGCTCGATCACGTTGAAGTTTGTTCCGCGGTCGCATATAGCGCAGGTAAAATCTCGAGTCCAACGTGAAGCTTCGCTTCGAAACGCTCGTGGAAATGAAAGTTAAGACGATGAGCGCCGTCTGGCCAGTGGCGACGGCGATGGTGCTTGGCACGGTGTGCCAGGCTGCGTCGCTCACGCATCTCCGGTCCTGACGTCATGACTGCAAGCTTTACTGCAGTCCAATGGCTAATAGCGGCTATTACCGGTACAGCCATTGGCAGTGACTTGAGCAGATAGATACCTACGTCGAAGGTGAAGCCTGTCGTGTGCTGGTTTGGCTGAAGAGATGTTGTCATGCGTTCGCCAGCTGCGGTCACGCCGACTCGAGTGCACGACACATCCATCCAACACCGCCCTCTCCGACGAAGACCCCGTCAAGGCAAGATCAATGTAAGGTCTCCGTGGAGTCTATCGATAGAAGGTTAGTGTTCGACAAAAAATTCCGCTACCGGTAGGGCAAGCTTTCCTCAGATCTACGACCCCATTCTCTTCGTCTTACCTACACATGCCCCGCGACTTAAGCGTCTTCAACCGCTTTCGCGACGACATTTGCCCATTCTCAACCAGCGCAACACACACGTACAGTACTTTACACATACCGACGACAGCAATGGAAATTCTGCCGCCAAATTTCTGCGCTCGAATTTTCAAATCCTGCCTAGCCCAAGATACACCAAGGGAAGAGATAGGAAGCGCGTGTATGAAAACTCGATGTGTATTGGCAAGACAATGGACTTGCACTTGTTGCTGTTTCGAAATTTGCTGCATAAACTCGACGATTGTGCCAAAATTTGTACCGACAAAGTACCGTAAAAGTACAGTTGGGGAGACACCTTGCGCACACTGTGCGGCACAGACCAGGTTGGTCTCGAGACTTTCGACCAGCATGCGTGCTCCACCGGGCAAGACTGAGTCTTGAAGACTCAACAGTAAATCTGTCTAAAGTAGCGCCTCTTCTCCTTCAGCTATAATAGAACCAGATTCACTGCAAAAAATCAGAACAGTGCGTGCGTCGAAAATCACTGAAGGTCCTTCACTGAAGGCACGCGGTTTGAAAGTGACTCTTCACTAATCGACTACATGTACCTTAATTGAAGAGGTACATGTATTAATAATGTAGCAACACCTTCGGTATCGCTGTTATTTCCTCGTTTTCAGGACGAGTGAGCCTCATGAGTGACGCTCGCAAAGTGTTTGATTGGCGTCCGTAGAACAAGTATGATTTCTTTGACTTTTTTAGGTAAAAACCATTTCTACCGGTGGCAAGCTTCGTCTCCTTCCTTTTTCCATTACTGTAATACTGTACGCTGAGCAACAAGTTGTTGGCAACTTGCCAACAAAACTTTCGAATATCGAGTCAGGAGAGCCCATCCCGCGCTCTTCAAACCGATTCGACTTTTTAACAGTGTAATATCATATGTACACCAAAAGGCCAATTTCAAGCGTTCATGATCCCCTCGGTTCATCAATGACACTTTCCACTGTCGCTCCTCTGCAGTCCTTGCAAGCGTCGGACTCCGATCTCCATGGCACATCTTGGTGGGGTCTATTACCAGACTGTCTCCGCCATCGCTCAGTCCCAGGAGGTCATGGTGTCCTTCCCTGTGTCGAAACGGCCGTTCGGCCGTCTAGAGCTGAACGAGAGCGACCGTCGGCGCTTCCACTTACAAGCCACCGAGCTGCTGGGCGACGCACTAAAAGAATATGAAGAATTCGCCCTCATCCGCCACCGCCAGATAGACCGACGTCGCTGGAAGCCAGTCAAGAACCATGAGAACATCGCAGTGTATCGCGAGTCGCGCTCGTACGCCGTCAGCCGCTCGCTTAGTATTGAAGACGAAAAAACGTTCGCGAGGGCTGCCGCCATGGCCCCCGTCTCGTCATCGGGACACCGACGCGTTTCTCGGTCCAGTTCTAGCTCTGGCGGATCCGGCTCAGGCTCCATTTCGACGATTCGTGAGCTCCCAGCCCACCAAGCCACGGAATTGGAGCTTCTCACTGGATGGGGCCCCACAGCCACGGAGGCCCGAGAGCACAAGAAACGAAGTAAGAGCAGATCGATCAGTGCGGTCGGAAGCTTGGAGCAGCTCCCGACCTTGTTAGGAGTCGGGAATATTGTCGGCTCACTTGACGATGTCATGTACGGCGTGGCCGCCCAGGACTGCGCCAGTATGGCACTCAAGAATGCCTGTATGTCTGAGGACGCGCTGGATGGAGATGTGCTGTGTGCTATTGAAGGCCCATCCGAGCGCAGCCCGTTCCGGTTCCTCGGCATCAAGTGGCTGGTCCATTCCATGACGGGAACAACGGCTAAGCACAAACTGACATCACTAAGGGACCTAGTTTACCTCGAAGCGACTGGTGTTATCACACGTGGCGACGGCATTAGAATCGGCTACCAGATCATGCATTCGGTCAACTTACGCGGCTGTACGGAGCTTTATGATTCTCATGGCGTTATTCGGGCAAAGTGCGAAATCGTCCACTTGTTTGTCGAGCTCGACAGTAGGACAGTCGACGTGTTTCTCAAGTCTAATGTGACGCCCAAAGGCAAAGTTTCTGAGTCTGGTGCGCTACAGACCTGCGCGAATTCATTGCTGTACTGCGGTAGGTCCGTGCAGTGCTCACGGGACAAGAAGCTCGCGTGGTTATTGCAGTGCAACCAAAACGCAGACAAACAAGACAACAACGGCAAGGCCGCGCGTTGCAAAATTTGCAACAAGTCTTTTGGTTTTCTTCGACAGAGTGTACAGTGCAAGTTGTGCTCGGGTGCGATGTGCTCCAAATGTGCCGTCGAACGCACTCTAAAGAGCGTGGATGCATCAGGCAACAAGCGCCACGTGGCCAAGTTTGTCTCGACGAGTGTCATCGAGCTATGCACGAGCTGCATCGCGACGAACAGGCAGACAAGTGCTCTGGCAATTGCGAGAGAAGAAGTCGTGGCTGGACGCTTTGGACCCGTTCCCCTCAAACGTGGCAGCAACCACTCGAGTGACTCCGTTGGTACCATTTGCATCGACGATATTCCAGGCCAACGCGAGCATCACGCACGTCCTCCACTTCAATCGGAGAGCGACTCGAAAAGAGGTCATCGTCCTCAGGAAGGACGGAGAAGTCATCGCAGCCATCGCGATGAAGCTCAACCGGAAGCTGATCCGGTTTCTAGACGTGGACATGCACCGCCGTCGTCAAATTCGAGCCAAACGCGCGAGTTACCGAAGATCAGAACTCGATCTGGAAGTCGCCACGAGCCTGTACCAATCCCAGGACGTCAGCCACCCTTCAGAAGAGGGCTTTCCGCTGAGTCGCACTCCGCAGAGGACCGCTACCATGAGCGCTATATGCAACGCGAGATGGTCTCCGGCAACAAGCATAAACCCGTATATGGCAGTGCTCCCGTGGAGCTTGACAACTCTGGAAGAGGGAGTCGTGGTCTGCCGGTGAACTTGAGCGATCTGGAGGACCCACTGCCATACACTCCGAGTAAAGAGAGCATTAGAAGGACCACAAGCTCGAGTGACAGCAGCTTTGAAAGCATCCAAGTATCGGGCATATCGTCACTACGATCGACCGCGCTAGAACCTGAAGCTGAGAAGGAGGAGGAGGAATTTCGTGACACGTTCGACAGTTTTGGTGACCTCATCGATATCCGTGACGACGTGGACGATGTGGTCGAAACTCTGGATACCAAAGACATGGAAGCTGTGAAGCGAGCATCTCAAGTTAACCGCAACTTGTGGCAACAGATTGCCGATCTTCGTAATACTGCAGAGAACACCTATCAGTACACAAAGGAAAGCACAGCGATGCACATGACTCAAGGCGGGTCCGTGCGACCACAACCACGTCACGACTATTAAGCAAATCCAGATCAGGAAACTGAAACAAATGGCAGTCGCCTATTTACTGGAATACAAAAGTTTTGAATCGAACTTTTACATAATTTTGTTGTTGTGGTGGATCCCAAAACAGGATTAAACGTTTCTCCACGATGGTAAAAGTAGCTTTTGTGCGTATGTGAGATTGTGCACACAAGTTCCAATTTTGGTGTTGAGTGTGCTCGGAGGCTTGCTCTTTTGTCTTCAAATGTTTTGTCTCGAAACGGATAAGAGCATTGAACGCGTTGGGGTATGCCTGATATCTTGTAGAGTCTGGGATTAGCGTCGAGTCGAGTCACTCGCTTAAAGTCATGAGCGACGACGGAGATTCGCGTCTCGAGATGTTCCTGGCTGTGGTGGAGAAGCTCGAGATCGAGCTGGATGATCCTGTAGAAACGGCAGAGGAATTCCAGGATCTTGAAGAGCTTGACTTGTCCGAGAAAGGTTTAACTGAACTACCAGGAGACTTGGTACTTGCTCTACCACCCAACTTGAAGACGTTGGCGTTGGAGAAGAACGGACTCGACCAATTACCTAAAATCTTCGGGAGCGATGCCGCCTCCACGGCTGCGTGGGGACAACTTACTGAGCTTTACTTGCGTGATAACGAGCTGACAAAACTACCTCCAGCGATTGGAGAGCTGTCGAAACTTGAGAGTTTGTATCTGGAAGACAACAAGTTGACGAGTGACGGTATTCCCAACGAGATCGACCAGTTATCTAGCACTTTAGCAGGTCTTTGTCTACATCGTAACTTGCTCACGGTAACTTTTTCTAATCTTTGATAAAGGTGGTAGAAGGTCTCTATCTGACGTTGTTGCTGCTCTTGCTTTCGTCAGACGTTTCCTGTGAGTTTGTGCCAACTTGTTAAACTTGAAGAATTGTATCTCGATGACAACGCACTCGAGGCGCTACCAGAAGAATTCGGGATGTTGACAAACCTGAAAGAGCTCGACATTCTTGGCAACAAACTCACCACGTTGCCGGATTCCTTCAAGAACTTGCACAAGCTGGAAATTTTACACGCTGAGCGCAACCAGTTGGTCAAACTACCCAAGCATTTGGGTGAGCTGCAGGCGCTCCGCAAGGTCTACCTGCAGAACAACTATCTTACCAAACTGCACGCGTCTCTCGGTCGCTGCATGAAGCTCGAAGTCATCAACATTGAGGACAATAGGCTGGCGAAAGTTGCCAAGAGAATCGGTGACTTGCCCAAGCTAAAGCATCTGCTACTTGCTAACAACAATATCACCGAGTTACCGTTCAACCCTGTCGAGAAGAATCCGAGTTTGCGTCGCCTGACACTGAAGGGCAATCAACTATCTCCCGAGATTCTAGAACTTGAGAAGCAAGTGGCGATGGCAAAAGTGACAGAAGAGGAGGAGAACGAAGACTAAAGCAACGCAATTGCATAATACATGGTCATTTCTTCTCTTTCCTATGCATACAACTCGCCATATCAAGTGAAAAATGCATGTGTGTCTAGATCCGTTTTGATGGGCGACGGCAGTGGCAAAGGTGACGGTGGAGGTAACGTAGCCATGCCTGACGAGGTGCCACTTAAACCTACCGATGAGCTGCCTAACTGGTGCATGTTCATGTTGTACGCATACATTCCTCCAGGCGTCCGCTTAGCAGAACGTATCGGCGTCCGTAGAAATGTTCGAGAGTCCATACTGATCGGAGGTAACGTCGTATCTGGAGCTGTCGCGACGAGAGCGCACGATGCAGATGCTCGACTTGCCGACGGTCGATTTATGTTGCTGTAATGCAGAAGCCGTTTGCCTCCTTTTGCTGCCATCTCCTTCTGCTGACCGACCTGTACGCACTGCACCTTTTAGTTTTCAGGTAAAATATTATGTTTTCAGGAATTCTCGGTCGTACCAGGTAATTAAACGCAATGATCTGCTCCTTGAGTTGTAGTTGTAGACTGTACGCACGAAAGAACGTCGGGTTCTGTTCCTCGAGTTTCTGCCATACAACATTAGTGAAGGCTGGATCCACGTTGGCCTGTTCTTTGAGGGTGATCAAAATGTCGCTCTGTGTCAACAGCAGCACATAAGCATCCTATCCAGAGCCATTTAAAGAGAAAAAAAGCATCCTTCCTTACCTTGCTCAGATACTGCTGGAGACATCTCTCAATCAAGTTTTGCACTCTCAGAATGTCGGTCCAGGAGAAAATTGGAGGAGAAACTGGCGTCGGGGGTGGCCGTTTAGATCCAACACCTGATGAACCTGAGCCGGTATTTATCGTGATCGCTGGTTTCGCCTTGCGAGGCATAGACGCTACTCCAGCTCGCCGTGGCTGAGTAGCTTCCGAAGTTGTTGACGTTGCTGGTGTCTCCCCTTGGATCGCTTGAGACGTCTCCGAAGATTTTGTCTCGGTTTTATCTGAATCTGAAGTCGAAAGAGAGCTCGTGTCCCTACTGAGCTCCGCGATACGCGCCTCCTCCGTCTTCTTATCTTCTCCTGGCGGGGCTCTCCCATCTTCCGCCCCTTGGGAAGCCCGCCATTGATCCTCGAGCTCTTCTCGTGGTAAAGAGGAGAAGTTGAACCCGAACGCGTCATCTGTGGTTGTTGCAGCTGTGTTTGGAGCATTCGTGGCTTCTGCATTGGTATTCGACTCCGTCGGCGTCTCCATGATACTGTCGAGAGTTTCAGGCGGACGCTGCTCGTTGTTAGAATGATCCAGCGGCTTTAGCGTCACTTGTCCGTCCTCTATGACCTGGTTGCGCTCCGCCAGTTTAAGCTTAAGCTCCTGTGCCGTGGGCGTGTCTCGAGCATACAGCGACTCCATTACGGTAAAAGGTTCTGTCTTCGTGCCTTTGTCGACTCCACCGAGGGACGCGGCGAAGCGTCGTCTTTCCTCTGCGGCCAGTTGGCGTGGTCGCATATCGAGTAGTTGAACTACTTCTAGATATTTTACTAAAGGCTGGCGTGAGGTCACCGCTATCGAACGAATTTCGGTTCAAAATGTTTTTTTGCGGTTTTTTTGTGGGTTTTTTTTGTCAACGTTGCCATTTCACCATGGTCCTTCGGAACTCGTCGCAAGTGGACTAGATGACTGGCTAACCAAGCTTGGTTGTGCCTTTGGTTCTTGCCTTTCGCGTTGGGCATTTCCAATTCTTCAATCAATGGGTCGGGTACGCAAAGAAGGTGTGTGGTCTCATCAGACAAACATAGAAAAACACCACAATAGCGGAATAAACACCACAAAAACGTGTGAGCTCCTTGGATTGTGTTTCAGCACCCTAAATTGTGTTTCAGCACCCTAAATTGTGCAACAGCACTACCAATCGACGACAACCACCGATTTTTATTGACAAGCACTTTCCTTTCTAGTACAGCACGTTCCTCTCAAAGTGCTTTGCAACAACTAGCCACCTCGAAGCCGCCTTCACGTACGCCACCATGCCTACCCAGCTACCCTGGACCGTACTCGCCGACAACGTGTCTAAGAAGGATGCGGATCTCCTTCTTATGGACTTCAAAAGCTATAAAACTGAAAAGAGTGAGTTGAAGACATGTCACTGTTCTTCACAGCAGCTCCCCCACAACATGCGCCGACGCATCTTGGCGTGCAAGTCTACGTGTTGTGCTGAAGCGGCGCCACTTGGGAAGTGCCCGTGGCGGGGGAAGACGCAGACGTGTCTGCTACTCGGCGAGGTGGCTCTCATGGAGTGCTACGGGCACCTGACTGAGCTGCGCTCGCCACGCTCGGCCCCCCTCACCAGCACCATGAAGGAGGCGGTAGAGGGAATGACGGCGCAGGGGCTTAAACCCCAGCGTATCCGTAATGAGTTAGTGCGCCAGTTTCGCTTGGATGAAACCAGCGCACCATCGTTGCCAACCGTTCAGCATTTTGCGCAGCATTTCGCGCGCACGCGGCTAGGTGGCAGTGACAACTTTGACGATGTGCAAGCTCAAGTAGAACGAATGGTGTTTACGCCGGGGCAACAAGACGGTGAACCGTTCACGTTTACGTGGGAAACCAATGCTGATGGCATTCCTCAGGTCGGCTCCGGCACCGACGACGAGTCATTTATCGTTGGCTTGACGTCGGAGCGCCTGCTCCGACGAATGGACCGCGACCCCAACAGGTTTGTCTTGCATGGAGATGCAACGTTCAAGCTGAATCAAGCAGGATATCCAGTTTTCGTTGTCGGTATTTCCGATACTAGCCGGTCATTTCACCTAGTCGCGCTCTTCGTTATCTCCCAGCGCAGAATTTCCGATCTTTTACAAGTCTATGCCTCACTGCAAAAAGTGTATCAAAATGTGGTGGGTAGACCGCTGTGTGTCCGCTACGCCATGTCTGATGCCGACGATGCCCAGTACGAGGCAACGATATCTGTACTTGGGTCGGCTCAGTCAAGTGGAAGCCGAACGGACTTGAGTGCTGCAAGCCCGCATTTGGTCCCTCTCATGGGCTACTACCACGTTGTTGCCAAGGTTTTTCAGCGCTCTCGATCACTACGCCCTTCCGTCGCTGCCAAAGTACTGAAGGATGTCGGGGACATGCACTACAGTGCTAACAATGAAACGTTTTTGGCTACTAAAGAGAGGGTGCTTGCCGAATGGGATAGCAACCACGACCTGGAGGCATTTCGATCCTACTTTGTGCGGCAATGGCTTACTAGAAGATTCACGAGGTGGCAAATGTTCCATACGCCACGGGGGTTTGCTACGACGAACAACCCCGTCGAACAGTTTAACCGCACCCTCAAGCGCGTGTACACGCTGCATGCACGTCTGAAAATGGGCAGCCTCCTTATGCAGCTGAGCGCCTGCTGTCGAGCTGAAGGCATGAACCTGAAGCCGTTCAGCACGTCGGTCGCACCATCGCCATCACTGCAGCGACGAATGCGCGAGTTGAGGCGCGAGCGAAAGCTCTACGTTCCGCTCCCTCCTCGCAACAGCATGGCTTATCTGCTACAGGATGACTTTGAAGCGGGCGCTGGGGATGTCGTGCGTGTCGTATCCACGCGCTGTGAACGTGTACTTGATCCAGCTACCGGTCGCAGGAGCGAAGCCATTCTCACCACTGCTAAAATGTCTAGCTGCAATGCTCGGAAAGAGCTGGAGGGGATGCCTGCGTCTGGCTGGGCGGTCAACGTGCCGGAAAGAACCTGCGAGTGCCTTTACTTCGAGAAGTTTGCCACGTGCGTTCACCTTCTGCTCATACTTTCGAACAGAGGGATGAGCGCGTCAGGTCGACGGGAGACCCTCTACTACCGAGGGCCAAACAAGGCCCGGCGCCTCGCTGTTAATGGACAGCCTGCAGGACGACCAGCAGAGAGTAGTGCTTCTCTGGTAGTAGAATAGAGGTCAGCTTCGTTAGTTAGTTTCAACGTACAGGAAACAATGCAATGCCATTACCTTGAGGCGCAAAATTGAGCATCGTCAGCCGTAGGCGCCTCATGAGCAGCATCCAGACGGCCTCAGCTTTTCTTGCGGTGAGGGGGCAGCGGTTCTCATGGCCTCGGTGATGACAGTGGTCGTGCTCGCCCTTCAGCGGCGGTCACGCACACCTTGCTCCCAGCGCTGCTTCTGCTTCGGGAGCGAGCTCCGCCTGGTCTTGGCGGCACCCTTTCTACTGGTGGCGCTTCGTCCGGCTTTTCGTGTCCTGGCAGAAACGCGCGCCCTGCCCTTGGCGGTCCTCGTGCTTGCCCTGCTTTCCCTGCCCTCAGCGGCGCTCGTGGCGCTTGTGCTCGCCCTGCTCTCGGTGGCGCTATCCCAGCTCTCTGTGGCGTGCCCTCGGCGGCGCTCCGGTGGCGGCGTCGCCAGCGCCGTTCTAGGGCAGGGGCTGCTCTGTGGCGAGGGAGACAGACGGGCGTGGAAGGACGAGTGGTGGATGTGGTGCTGGGATTTGCTCGGTTTTGTGGTGCTGACATCAGGAAATCAGGGTGTTTATCATATTTTCTCGTCTCATCATGACTCGGCGAGTGAAGTGTAATCACTGCACTACGACCATGTCTGCGATGGTGAAACATATGCAGCGCCATATCGCAACCGTTCCGACACCCTACCCCTTTCCGACATGTTTCCGACAGTTCGGATCCGCCAATCAGATCATGACGGTGTACTCAGATTATGTACGCTTACACTAAGTACGGTCGCTTTTATAAGTACGACCATCCCAGTCAGCTTTAGAAAGGGAGTTCGAGGGCGCAAGGAAATGCTCTAAAGAGGCCTGTAGGCCGAGAAAACTCATTTTTTTTGTTTAGGGGCATTATAGGCTTCACAGCACTGTGCTCAACAGCCAGCAAATTCATGAATGAGACCCGAAGCCAGGGTGAGGGGCCACTATTAGAGGTTATTTTAAAATAATGACACTTAAGCCAAAAATATTGACATCATTGTCGTAGGCCAGTCATTTGGATTAACCTCATTCAGGTTTTTTGCTCAGCCAATAAAACAACGTCACTTATTAAACCTTGCCTAGGTTTTTTACTTAGCCAATCATGCAGCGCCACAAATTACCGACAGGGGCCTTGTGGTCTCAGTCTTCTTTTTCCAGAGCCACCCCAGCAGATCTCCCGTAGCAAAGGACCAGTCCAGAGCACAGTATGCCATTGCGCACACGAATATCGCCGGCACTGCTGGTACAGCGCTCGGATGGTAACGAGTGGGGGGTCCAATTCCCTGCTGTTGGCTTATGATGTTTGCGAAGAGTTGCAATTCATTAACATCTACTCACTTGTCTTACACATGTCCTACGAATTGAAGTATGTCTTGGGTTGATGTAGGCGCAGGATCAGCAATTTTGTTTGAGGTGAGGTGTGTACGGTACGTCGTGATACGGCCGTCTAGGGCTCCTAAGCGATGAAGTTTGCGCATCTCACGCAGTACGCTACCGCTGCCCTTTGCTCGGATCCCTTGTCCACTCAGGAAGCCGAGGACCGCCGATTCTGCACGTTGGCCGACCTCGAGAGCGCGATCCTTGTAGTTTCCGATCTCTTATGAAGCTGGAACCCGCCCTCCAGGAAAAGCTTCATGTACGCGACGATCAAGCGGTAATCTGACTTCTTTTGTCGGTCGTTAGAGCTCCAGACGCGAGGCTGCCGTGTGTACCACTCGAACCAGATCGATGACAGGTTGGTAGTCGCTTTCTTTCTGCGTTTCGCTGCAGGTGTTTGAGCTGACGAAACTTGCTCCTGTTCTGTAGTTTGGGCTGGCTCTTCGTGCGCAGGTCGCTTAAGGATGGCAGCCTCTAGCACCAGCAGGCGTGCAGACAACAGCCTATCGCTTTCGATAAGCTCATTAATGACAGTAGCGTGATGACACTCCGTTCGATTGCAGCCGTTCTTTTCAGTGTCCTTCCTTTGTTGAGCAGGTTTGGAGGCGACATGGCTCAGCGCGACCGACCACGCCAGCAAGTCGGTGTGGGAGATGTCAGCTGCTTCCAAGCATTCTTCCACTCGAACAACGAACAAGCTCCTGGGTTCGAGAGTCTTCACTTCCGGGAAATGCCTAATTAGGTAGGCGGTAAGGACCCCAATTACCTTGCGACTCACGTTTAGCTTGTTGTTCTTCAGCCCTACACAGGAAGCGAACAGCAACTCCTGCAACCGGGTCATGCGCTCCTGAGCCCCATGGTCGAGAATGGCAACATCAAGAATCATCGGTGCCTCGTCCGCAGCCCACCCGCTCAAGACCCGTGCTACTTTACGGTCCTCGCGTGGCGTGTTGAATACGTAGGCGAATCCTTTGTTGGTGCGCGTCATGTCCCATGACCCACGATCAAAGATCCACTGTGCAGCCAGCCGCTCGTCCCCGTTTGCATGCTGCGCCCCGCCCCGCCTGAAGGAGTGCGAGGTCAAGTTAGCTGAGGCTCCTGCCGGCTCCGACACCCGCTTCAGGAACCGGTCACATACGCTTGAACCCCGTCGTCACGCGAGCTTGGTTGGTCGCTGAAGGGTTGGCTGCAGCGGAGCTCGGGACGCTTCGCAGTCTGGCAGCCGCCGGGTCAGTCATCCCTGCTGCAGGAAGCTGCGAAGAGGTGGCAGCATTGACCGAAGGTACTCGTAGTACATCGAGAAGGGGTGCTGCTGCATCAAGTGATGGTGCAGACGGTGTCACAAGAGAAGGAAGCTGGCTTAGCAGGGACACACAAGGCGACTCCTGCATCACCAAGGCTACTGCGAGCGTGTACTCGGTGGCGTCGTTCTATGGTGATGGTTTACGAACGCGGGATGCGGCGCAGCGCGAGACAAGCTGGCGGAAGAGGTGGAACAGGAGACGCGCAGTGCCATTTCTGAGGCCGTGGCGGTGTAGATGAACATGACGCTGGTGGGCGTGGCTATCGTAGCGACGACCAAGGCCATGAAGGCGGCGTTCGAGACTGTGGAAGATGCCGAGGTGAAGGCAGTGGAGGTGGACTGTCAAGTAAATGTACTAGAAATACCCGGCGCAGGCTTGTTGCCCGTACTGGTGCGTTGGTCGTACACATCACGTTGGTTAGCGTGGCCTTCTTCTGCTGCTTGGTGACTGGTGGTCCTGACCACGCAACAAGACTGCGTCACACCCAGGCGTCTAGAATCACAATGAGAGGTTAGCAAAGACGCTATTTTAATAAAAAAATGCAGTACATGTTCATGTGTATCTAAGCTTACTTCTGTTTCAATAGTTTTTGTTGAGGCATGTTTTTTTTATCATTTTCCTAAACACGTACTTTAATACTTGCTTCTTCGAAATAGGAATCCTACTGGAGGACCTTGTTGTCGGAATGACAAGAATATTTCAAAAATACTTTTTATATTGAGTATTCGTATCCAGCCATAAATATTTTGGCTGGGCTTCCGACAAATATTTGTCGGAAGCTGTCGGAATAAAAGACCTACCCGCATGAGATGCCATTGGCCAAAAGATAAAAATGAAGATATTCAATTGGCGTAAAATTGACAACCCCTAACCCGACCACAATCCTACCTAACTATCTGTCGGAAAATTACCGATTATCAGCGTTACTAGCGGGGTGATGCCCGTCTCCTTGGCCATTCACAGTCCCATTCTCAGTGTTTCATCGTGGCCAATTCGCCACCAAGCCAGATGTGGCTGCGGTGACTATAGATAGGTTGTTTTTTTATACATAAAAAAAGAACATATTAGACCGATTTTTTTGCTTATTTTTGCCGTCATGTTTTTTTTTGGGTAATACTCGTTGTTACCCCTGCTTGCGTTTCTGCTCCATCTCCAGCGCTGCTGCACCCAGTCTCAGCTCTTTAATCGTCGTCTACGTTGGGGAAGAGAAATGTTGTCGTCATTCTCTTATATAGATCGCAAAGCTTGAGCTCCTTCTGACTGACGCTCCAAATCCTCCACCAAAACGTTGTCTTCAAGTAGCATGCGCCCCCACCCACGCGATATCTTCTCGCAGCTGATGATATGGATGAATATACACGTTTCCCATCATAATCCTGCTTATTTCCAATCTCTAAGTCTACCTAAGAACTCCAAAAATGAATACTTTCGTTGGAATCCATAATTTTGGAGCATCAGAAAGCTAAAAAAATTCGAGTGATGGCCTTCTACTTTAGCTAATTAGTTTAAAGAAGCTCTATATGTATGTTGACACTCGAGAACATAATTTATTTATACCACAGACTTGCTGCACTCTATTTTTGGATATTTGGAGGCATATTGACTCCATGATTCGGTTGCCACGAGTTGAAATGGACGATCATTCCGATGTGAAATTGCTGCGTGAGGAAGAAGCAACCGAGATCGAATCTCTTCCGTATTCAGAGACAGCTATGGATTTCCCACTCAGTATCACCATTCCACCGACAAGTGATGATGTTTTACGTGCGAGTTGCAGTGGAGCGTACGAGGACGACGACCAAATCAGTAGCAACGGCAGTACAACCCCATCCATATCAATTCCAGCTTCAGTTGGGTCGTCACCGATGGCTACATCTCGATCTCTAGGTTCACGAAGCTCATTTGGTGATTTCCCCAGCAACTCAAGCTCCTTTTCATTATCCAGCGACCAGGAGCTCATAAACTTAGCATGCATTTCTCTCAGACAAGCACCAATTGAAGTTCAAGCGTTGAATCTCAGCACTAACACCAGAAAGCCCCGCCGTCCACTAAAAAGTCTGAAAGCGCTATCCGTATTGACGAATCTCGTTCAGCTGGACTTGTCTGGTAATGCTATTGAACGCTTGGACGGATTGCATGTGCTCACTAATTTGCAGAGGCTGGCGATTCCACGCAATCATCTCAAGACGTTGTCAGCTCCACTATTTACTCTCAAAGGACTAACCCACTTGGATCTGTCGGGAAATTTCATCGCGCATTTACCTCTCGGGTTTTCAGGTTTGACGACGCTGGAAGTGCTGAATCTTTCAGGAAACAATTTGGGTACACTGCGGGAAGTGGATGTACTAGCCCCACTTGCCAACTTGCTCTCGTGCAGCCTCGCAGCCAACCCATTTTGCCGTCTACCTACCTATCGAGACTACGCCATTTGCAAGATCCGATCGTTGGAGCGTCTAGATGATGTTGAAATATCACGAATCGCTCGTGACAGAGCAGCAAAGCGATTCGGTAGCGCTATGTTTTCGCAAGACGCGTGTCTTCTTGAAGCAGGGCGAGCTCATGAAGACGAACAGAATCGCTTACTCGAGGCTCAAAGTGCGTTAGAAGCGGAGAATCTTCGATTGAAAGGCGAGCTACAAGTCAAGTCAAAGCTGCTACAGAACAAATCTCGAGCATGGTCCAGCGCTACGGAGCAATTGTTGCAGCTACAACAAGAAGTGGCTATGCTTAATCTCGATCGGAGGCGTTCAGTATCGCCTCCTAAGAGGGATATTAGTGACGCCGAGCACATAGCTATGGCGATTGCAGCACGCCATAAAATAAGCTACTCGACTCAGCGACCACAGTCTGCTCCTCGTATTTCGTCACCCGAACGCAGCGTCGAAAAACGACGTGGGTCTTTTTCCGATCGCGACACTCAGCTCGATTTAAGCCCAGAGACAGAAGGCACTGGAGAATGCAATGTCGAATCACGAGACGCAGCGTGTATGCCCATGTCTCCGAATGCTCATGACGCATTGAAGCACAGCAACAGCATAATGTTCGTGGATGCCTCCTGCTCTCCGCTTCGAGTGATCCCATCAGCAGGTATCGCTAGGGAACAGCACGAAGATAGTTTTGATGCTGAAAACGACGCAGATGAGGATGAAAGTGAAGAGCGACAGGAAGAATATGAAGATATCACGTCGCCGCCTCGGACACCGATAACTCGGCCCGCCACTCCATCAACAATTCGGCAACTACATAAAAGTGCCCAAAGTCTTGATCAAGTTCGGAATGCATTGTTGGAGATAAATCCAAGTAACGACAACTCGCCACGAAGAGCTGGTCTGACATCGACATCTTCAAGCTTAAGAGACGAGGAATCGTCTGGGAATGGCTCTCTCTCAGCATGTTTCCCGACTTTTGAAGACGACACGGCTTGCCCAGCATACGAGGATACCCATTCTCCAGCTCTACACGTGCGTTCCTCGTCTGCCACCCCTCTTAACAACAGAGGAAGGCACTTGATCATCCAAACTGCCCCCAACGCATACTCTTCTGGTAGTCATTCCCTTCCACCGTCTCCGTCAAAGTCTCCATCCAAAATGAGAGAATGGTATCGCAAGCAGAAGGAAATGAGACTAATGACACCACCGCCTTCCCCACCAAGAAAGAACTCTTCTCCTCCGTACAAACCTCGTCGGCCGGCAGTGGAGGCCTCCCCACTAGCCTCCTTCGTGGATAAAGATGTTCTGGCCCGGCAGATTCAAGCTCTGCAATCGTGCAAGCAATCTTTGCTAAGCGAGATCCGGAACGAGGAACATCTATTGCATGTACTTAAGCAAGAGAGTGCTCACTACGCAGACCAAATCGACTGTCTAAGTGTCAACATCCAGGCGTGTCTGGAGGGCGATCCCAGTGCTATTCGCTTCTCCTTCTCTCCATCAGGTTCACCTCGAAGTAAAAGCAAAAAGCTTCGAGACGAAGCTACTGGACGTGCTCGACTAGAGATCTTGCGAAACAAACTTCGGTTTGCTGAGGATAAGGAGAAGGAGATCGAGACCACAATGGTGCGTATGACCAAGCGAGTACTGCAGTCTGACCTGCATCCTGTAGAAGGGAGAGACAAAAAGTTTAGTCCAGCGGAGCCATCAAGACTCGCTGACATGCCGTTCGATAAGGAGATTTTCGCGCTCACTCACAAATTGCAGCTGGTGATCGTGGAGAAGGAGGAGATCCACATGCAAATGAGTCAGCTAATGGCTCAACTACGGGGTCAAACCACTGCAGAGCTGGATCTGGGTGAGGACGAACATGGAGGCAGCTTTAAGCAAGCGCAGTCGCTAGCAAAGAGTCGACAAATGGCGGACGAGCTACGTACTCGACATCGCGAGGTAACCGATCGAATTGAACTCAAAGAGCGGCGGATTTCGACTTTACTAGAAGAACTGAAAGAAGTCGAGGCCGAGCTCAGACATATCAGCTCATTGAACGTGTCTTCAGCGCTTAGTCCGCTCTTTCAGCGCGAGCGTACAGCTAGTCTCGAATTTCTGCATGCTATGCGCCCTCGACAAGGAAGCGAAGATATACCAAACACCGTCGGTTTAACGGGGAATATTGTCAAGGATAGCGTCAAAACGCCGTCTACATCCTCACCAACTGACGATCATTTAACGTCACCATCGTATGAATTTGCAACGGAGCATGGCCAACTACCAACGAACTTGCACTTTAAAGAGCTGCTCAATCCGGAGATGCTTGAAGAGATCAAAGCCGATATTTACGAGACGTTGTCACAGAAACTCGCGAGTTCAGCCGGGAGCTGTATAGATGAGGTTTCTACAAATGGAAGTCCCAATGACTTGCATCAAGCGATTGCCGCTGCCCTGGACACTCGTCTTCAAGTTGGGGGTAATACGGGAGGTACTCAACCGATCGAAGGCGTAGATGGTCAGGCTAACTATCCAGTGGAACTTTCACAACCAAATTGTGTTCATGATGAAGAAATTCTGCCGAACGAAGTCGTCGTTAATACTCCTGTTGATGAGGTTTCATGCGATGACTTTGATGAGTTTGCGTCTGTGGATTTATATTATGCCCGGAAGTACGTGATGGCGAAAGATCGAGTCTCGACTTTCATCGAGAGCGCCAGTAGCGATGCAAGCGTGGCAGATGTGACGAGTGCCCAGCGCATACTCAAGATGTGTGAACGTCTGGAAACTGCAGAAGCGAAGAGCAAACATGACCCCGTTAGCAAGATCGAAGTGGATCGACACGGAAATAGTCGAGGCTCACTGAAAATCGTGCTCCAGGCCGGCAGGGATCTCCCCACTGCGCATTTGAGAACGAAAAACCTCGATCCGTACGTGTGCCTGGAAGTGGTCTATCCTGCCCACGCTTTATCGCCTTCTTTAAACTCCAATACTGTGGTCGGGAGAGTTCTTCGTAGCCAGACGAAGAAGAAGAGCATATACCCTGTGTGGGACGAAGAGTTCGAGATCGCTCCGATCCTGTCCTTGAACGGTTATCTCCTCGTTCGTGTGCTGAACGACCGCAGACTTAGTCGAGAACAGCTCGTAGGAGAAGCTCGCATTCCACTGTACACTTTGCTGCATCAGAAGCGCATTGTGGAGTGGTTCTCACTTGGTCTCAATGTCCCTCCAGCATCAACAGGGTCTGCCCCACCAGGGAGAGTGGTATCTAAGATCTGTGGTGGTGCTGTCAGACTTCAGCTCCAGTTATATTTTTCAAGTGTCGAGAGATACAAACACGTTGTGGATGAATTGGTGACGCGATATCTGAATGATCACGACCATTTGCCTTCGTTTATTGACGCGGTTGGCCACTACAAGAATGGAGCAGACTCATCTCTTCTAGACGAGCAGCCGGAACACCACAATGATGAGTCACCTTTGACGACAACCGATGGCGCTGAGTCGATGAAATTTGAACAACGGCGGCAACAGGACGTCGAATCTCATTTTCCTTTTGACGAGCTCGTGACTTCGTTGCCCTCACCACCCACGCAAAGTTCTCCTGCGTATAACTCCAGCATCCAGTCGACAACGGACAACCGAATAGACAACAACACTCAAGGATTATCGAGCCAGCTATCGCCAGAGCGACGAAAGTCTCTGTGGGAGACTAGAACCTCCGCAGCTAATGGCATTTCAGCTGCGGCGACAGCAGACGATAAGAAACCATATTTTGGGTTTTTTACGCCTACGACAGAGTGGAAAAAGCAACTCCCAGCTTCTTTGTCAATGTCAAGTGGAGCTCCACGCCGAAGCCAAACACCTACTGCGCAATCCAAGAGGATAAAGAGCGCCGGTGCATTGCGACGGCGGAGTGTTGAAACGCCAGAGTGCTTCGACAAGTACAGTCCATATCATCCCGGATTCAAGAGCACAGACGTGCTGGATGAATGCAACAATGAAGTTGGAGGAATAAAAAACGACCGCAGCGCAGTTCGACCCGCGGAGGTGAATCGCAAGACTGACTTAAGTATCTTTAAAAGTCCCAGCTTGACTCGACGCCCGCCAAGCTCCGGCTTCCCTGAACGCTATATCGGTCTGGACAACCAAACTTGCGAACGACTCAAGCGAATCTTTGGGCGAATGGATAGCACACCAAGCAGCAAGACCCTAGACATTTTATAATTGAGCTTGTCGAGCATGTTGAAAGATTGAAATTGCAGTAAAATCTTTTTTTTTTAATTTTTTAAAACAAATATAACTTTCTCAAAATGATATTCACAGAGTGGCGACACAATGTAGCGCCCTTTTCTAAAATATGACGTCTTTTTTGTCACTCTTCATTTCTAACAGCGAAGAGCATGAGCTTGTTACGGCCTGAGACGCTTCAGGTCGTGGCACAGAGCCTCGGCCTGGACGATATTAGCGACGAATGTGTGTGTGAACTTCTGCCAGAGGTGGAGCTGCGTGTGCGCCAGGTGGTTCAGGACGCGCTCAAGTTCCAGCGACACTCGCGGCGGCCGCAACTGGACCCCACACACGTCAATCAGGCCCTGCAGGCGCGGAACCTGGAGGTTAGTACAGTAAAGAACGTCAGCAAAGGCATGATCTACCCACTAACCTGAATCGCTCTATTTCCTAAAGAGCCTGTACGGCTTTTCAGCTCCTGGTAACGTCAAGTACAAGCCTTGTGAGGATAATGAGACGCTATACTTCGCAGAGGAGGAAGAGCTGGAGCTGAACGAGCTGCTGAACGCCCCGCTGGGCCAGATCCCGCTGCAACCTGTTCTTAACGTCCATTGGCTGGCAGTTGATGGCGTGCAGCCGCTAATACCCGAGAACGCGTCGGTGGAGGACGATTCGACATGCCACACGTCCATTAAGGACGAAGCCTTCGTCAGTAATGTGGACAGGAAACCCAGAGTCAAGCACGTGCTGACTGAAGAGATGCAACTTTACTATACCAAGGTCACAGAGGCGGTTAAAAGCGACGACTTCGAGCTACAACGTGCGGCGCTTACGAGTCTCGCACAGGACCCAGGCATTCATCAGCTGCTGCCCTACTTTTCACGCTTCATTTACGAGGAAGTGAAGCACAGCAACCACGACCTGTCGCTGCTCTTCTCGCTCATGCGAGCGTGTCGCTGTCTGCTTGTAAACCAGAGTCTGCACGTGGAGCTCTATGTACGCTATCCTTATTGAGAGGGATCATAGAGTATTGAGCTAATCCGTTGCGCTTTGATTTATTCCAGCTACACCAATTGATTCCTGCCATTTTGACGTGTGTGCTCGGCACGCAGCTATGTGAGAACCCTGCAGATGATCATTGGGCGCTGCGCAAGTACGCCGCCAAGTTGGTGGCTCAGATCTGCGAGCGGTACGGCGAAAAGTACGCCAACATTCAGGCACGCGTGTCCAAGACATACCATAAGGCAATCACAGACCCTACGTGTCCATTCTCAACGCAGTATGGTGCCCTTCACGGTGAGCTTTTGGGTTTTATTGCGAGCAATACTTTTGGAAAAGAACTGTATCCTTATCTGCTGCTATGTTTTACCGACTAGGGATGCTCTTCTTGGGTCCACTCGTCATGGAGAGTTTGCTCTTCCCCCACCTGGAGAAATACTACCGACGACTGGAGCCTGCACTATCATCGTCGAACCCCAATCTTGTTCAAAGACTTGAGGCGCAGAACTGCCTCGGTATCCTCGTCGTAAGTAAATATGTTGATGGTTAGTTATTGTGAATTCTAACGTCGTGGTTTGTTTGTGGTATTGTAGCACGCATCCGGGAGTTATTTTTCAATGTCCAAGTCAATGGACCGCAGTGCTTCGTCGTCGTTATCGTCGTCTGCAATGGGTGATATTGTGACTCTGCTGTTCGAAGCGTTTGGCGAGAGCCTCTTACCTTACATTCGACCGGAACAGAACGATAGTATGCTCAATATGTGCCTCTAGACTCGTCACCAAGTCGGTGAGTAACAAGGAGAAATGGATGCTTCAGTGTTGACAATGTCACGAGACATGGGTATGTGAATTATGCTGCTTAGGCATGTTAAGCGTCAATTTTTTGTGTTAGGAAGTTATCATAGCGTTGGCGAAGCTGGTCAGGCGTCTTAGTTGGAGTACACCTTGTGCACACGGCATACCTGAGCTGGGGTGCCTGCCGAAGGTGAACTTGTGGTGGGGGTTGCTGTTGCTGGAGCTGACGTCGGCGCTGCAGTTGGAAGAGCAGTCACCAAATTGGGATAACTGGACGCCTTGATCTGCCTATTCCACGTGTAAAAGCCGAAGTATTTCTCCAGCTCGATCCCCATGGTGTTGTCATCAGGTCGACGATCAAAGAACATGAACCAGAAAACCTCCTGACCGCCACTCACAGGACTCCAGTTCAAGAAGGCCTTGTAGAAGGAGATGGAATTAGCGAGGCTCGGCACATTGTTAGGTGCGAAAGAAGGCGGCGCTCCTGCTGTGGGGAAGCCAATCTCTGTGAGACGGACTTTGTCGGACGGGTAGATGCTCAGCATGTTGTTCCAGGCTCCATTGAGCATCGCCAATGGGTTACTGGCCGTGTAGGAGGCGTCGAAGAACGGGTAGATATTCACACCCAAGATATCGCAACCAGCAGCTAGTGCCAGCATTGCAGAGCGCGTACTAGTCGCTGTCCACTCGTTGTGTCGCTGTACTGTGCCAATGTTTACTGTCCGTCCAGTCTCGCTTCGAATTCGTGCACGCAGAGCAGTGATGCGGTTTAACACTTGGTCAGGGGAGTACGGTCCAGCAGGATAGATATTCTCGTTGCCAACTAGGATCGCCTTGACTGTATTCGGGTAGTTCTTTACAGCCGCGATGGCAGCGTTCACTTGGTCATTGTACCAGCTCTCGTCGGTCATGAAGACACCGAGATAAAGCTGGACGCCGTGTTTCGCAGCATAAGGCGCGACGGCATACCCGTAGAAGGAGGAGTAATAGGTGCGTACAACCTTGACGTAGTTTTTCATGATGCTGAAGTCGGTGTCCATGGCCGAATCGAGGCCCGCTGCACTACCCCCGTAGAACGGATACTCCGGATTGTGGAAAGGGGAGTAGCATACTCCCTGTACAATGGGGGCGGCCTCTTCTACGCGGTCTGGTGGGAGCACCGTGTTAGTGTAAGGTCTCAATTCATCACCTTTGAAGCCTTCGAGGTTCAGAGCGGCAGTTCTCGAAACTAGCAACAATAACACTGACACTCCAGTAAGCATGATACGGTGATTCCATAGCTGCATCGTTGGCAGGTTTTTAAAAGACGCAGCACACGAAAGATTGAATAATGGCCAGCACATGGAGGACCTGGATAAGTGGAGAATGAAGCGGTTACTATTATGCGATGCTATTCTTTTTGAACTGTTAGAATATTCGTAGAAGTGGTTTCCTATTCGGAGTAGAGCAGCTCAAGCGACTGGATTTGTGTGGGATCATCGAAGTGCCGTTTCCAGCTCTGCAGCGTGCGTGTCCGGTTGACGTTGTAGGTCCATTCGAGCACTCGTGCACGTCGCTCGAAACCGGGAAGACCGTAAGCTCTGCCTAGACCAATACCGCCACCATAGCATAGCTGAACTCCTTGACGAAAGTAGCAGTACTCGTTGACATGATCATGGCCTACGAATGTTGCCTTGACGTCCCCCATCTCAACGAGAGCGGAAAACAGACCACTGTTCACCTCAGCACTAGCGACAACTTCTTTCTCATCGCCGTTTCGGTTTAATGGCGAGGCCATCGCGTATTCTGGAACTGGGATGTGGTAGAACATGACTGCCGGCACACCACCGGCAGCTCCTTCTGGAGCGTGAGACTTGTCGGTAGAACGATATCTGGGACTCCTTAATCCAGTCGTAGTCGGAAGCATCGTTGATCAAAGGGTACGCTGTAGTGTCAATGGTAACATGCGAGTCCATGAAGTACATACGGAACACTGTGGAACCCTGTTCACCCCAGGGACCCGTAGTAGGCGCTACGACGTTGACTTCGTAGTTACCAACACCGCCAATGTCTCGAGGTCCATACTTCACATGCGAATACTGCTTTCCTTCTACCAACAAATCCAGCATTTCTTTCCGTGACAGTCCTCCTTCTGCGTCGTGGTTACCAAACACTGCAGCCCACGGAACTCCCCCTACGCTCGACACGCGCAGAGAAGACATTCATTGCGAAGGCGTGCATCGAAGTGTCCAAATTCGTCTGGACGTTGTCACCTGTGAACACTACGAAGTCTGGTTGCTCAATGTCCAGAAGTTCGTCGAGGAACGCAACCGTAAGCGCCTCGCGACATTTATTGTACAAGGGATCGTTGTCTTTGCCAGCAGTTACCGAGCTCGTTGAGTTGCTTTCTTCTCTCAATTCTTGAGCGATAATCGAAGCTGCAGCTAATAAACTGGTACGAATGTTACGAGGAGCGTGTAGTCAGGGTTTCCCGTGAGATGCATGTCTGCAATTTGGAGCACCTTGAAAGATAGCGTCTGGCTAGAGTTCAAAGCAATCGCTTCCACTGACGATGACACCTCATTATCGCTGCTCGACGTGTTCATAACGAAAGGCTCGTAATTTCTCGTCTTGACAAAAGTTTGCACAGTTCCGGTGAACTCGTTTCCAACGACGTCCCCATTCGCCAGGAACTGTTGACGAGATGTTAAAATGTGCACTTTCAGCTTCCGAGGTTACGTACAGTGCCAGCTCAGCTACAAAGAATGAAGTTGCCTCGCTTGACACTGAAGTATTGGAGCTGCTATTGCCAAAGTCAACGATGTCCCATGCAGCGCACAGTTTAATTTGGTCACTTGTGATTTCCGTGCTGTTAGCACTGTCTGCCACTACACAGGACTCGGTTGGAAGAACCACACTAAGGTCTGTCAAGACAGAGAATGAACCAGTTGCATTGGTGAGAGGACGTTGAACGCAGATGATAACATCGCTGGAGTTGCTGTTGGCCGCTGCACCTTCAGAAGACTTGAGCACGAATCCTGGAGTTTCCCATTGTCCTTGCGGTTCCAGTTCATCACAAGCGGAGTAAACGGTATCAGTAGACACACCGGTCAAAACTTGAAGCGCTACGATAGAGCGAACCGGGTAACGAGCGCTCACACGCTGGAAGCGCTTGATTCCGTCTTGAGGTCAGCCGGCCAAGTGATCCATCCGGGTGTGTCATGGTTGTAAAAAGACTCGGTCGTTGTCATAATGTCCACCACATACTGCTCGGTACCAAAGGCTGCACTCGCCAAGAGGAACTCCCCGCATACAAATAAGTTGGAGCTAGGATTCACGATCATCTGCATATTAGACGGACAGCTCTCGGCTTCCGATACAACCACAACACGTCGCATCACCGATATCGCTTCCAGATCGAGCTGCTCTAACGTCTTCATTGGTGGTGACTTCACACACAGGAACGAGATGGTACTAACGCTGTCAGTCGAAGCCGTCCATTCTACACCCGTAGGGATCGACTCAAGCTTCAAGCAGGAATCCTTGGCATCGTTGTCTGACGTCGCACTCACCAATGTCACATTACTCAGACCAACGTGAGACGGAGCCAAGAAGCTGGTTACCCTAATTGTGGTGCTGTCATTGGAGGAATTGTCCTCGTTTACCAACACGATAACATGCTACCACCACAGCCGCAGCGATGAGCGCTTTGGTGCAGTTGGTCGTGGAGCGAACTCCCCTTTTCTGTTTATAATCGTACTGCGTGGAGAGCATTGCACCGCGCAAAGAGTGAGGTGAGCTCTGAGACCGCGGAGCGTGGAAGCTTGTCAGCGCTGGAGATGGCGGTAGATCCGTTGTGTGACTGTTGTCTGCACCGTTGGGCAATTCTGAAGTACGATTGCTGCAGATTGATTGTCAATTTTGCGATGCTAAGGACTTAAGACAAAGAATTTACAGTCGATGAATGCGGAACAAGGTGAGTTGCGATATGCCGTGAATATCCTTCAACAACTAAAGCGGCTTAAACTCCGAAAACTAATAGCAGAAACAGTATGTAAATCGAATCAAGAGCAAAATCCAAACATGCTTCATGGAACAAACATTTGCTGCCATGCCCACCGCTTCAAATTTGGGCATCGGTGGTGTGTGGTAACGTCCTTGACTTATCTCTAAAACCGTTTCAGAGTCTGTATAGCGTTTAGTACGTGGGGTGAAAGGATGACCCTCAACCCGAAACGCCAAATTCTTGGTTCTCCACGGCAAATGTATTTTCATCCGAATCCGGTATCACTGGTTATGAGTTTTTTCATCTTCTTTTGAAAGCGAGATGGATACACTATTAATACATCCTACATGCAGCTATTATAATCTACCTTATTAATATACCCAGCACCTTGACATCAAAGGACAAAAAAGAACGAAAAGATAGCGCCTTGGCTTGGTATTATAACAATACCGGCACCATCATTCACATGGCCCCCCTTCCATGGACATAAAGCGAGAATGAACACTCAATTATGTCACTAATAACAAATCATTTCAGTATTTTGTCCATTAATCTAGGACAAAAATCACATTATAATTTGTCAGGTGTGGAAACTCACAAACGAAGTCTCAGTAAGAGGATTGAAATCCTCTTGGATGCCTCTTCACGTCACCCACGAACACGATGACGAAGGAGAACGAGCGAGACAACGGACAGCGAGCAAGAAAGCAGAGAGTATCAACGAACAGGAGGAGGGCGACGAAGTGAGGCAGCTGGGAGTGATCTCCCGAGACTCCAGTAAACCTGTACGAGCAACCGGCGGACGATCTTTTGGGTGGTGTACCCAGAGAAAGTTCCTGCACTGCGGTCTTTTCGGTAGAAGTCGTGGTTGCTGGATGAAGGGGTGGAGAAATGTCGCATGCATGAAGATCAAGGCGAGCGATTGGCAGTTCCAGATTTGCGGCGCAGCAGGCAAGTGCTCGCGCAGACGCAGAAGAAGAAGGTGCCGGTATTGGTGCCTGTAGGAGATAAGTAATAACAAGTCAGTCGTTAGTGAGGCACGAGACGGGATAAGTAGGGTGAAAATCGGAGTGTGACAGAGAGACGGGTATAAGCAGCCCCGTAGGGTCGTCGGTATCAGCAGCCCGGAACGTCGTGAAGTTTCCCCAAAAGAATAGGTAGTGGAGTTAGCCCCTGGTGTTAAAGCCCCTGGGATAACGATCGAGCGGCTTGGCATAGATCTCCGAGGAACACCACTAGTTGCCAGACCAAGGAACTCAGAAGTTGCTGCAGTGCGCGTGTTAAGTTAGTGTAGGTGCGTGTGTAGAGCGGCGACTTCTGTGGCCACCGGACACTGTCACTTGGCCGAGGGCAAGACCAGCGGTGGCAGCAACGCGACATACGGAAACCGTTGAGTATCTCACTAAGTGATTGACGCCACATAAGAGTGACTCAGTGTCTCGATGAGCTACGACCTGGTAGCCGATTACACGAAACTTACTTGGTGGTCATACAGGGGCCTTCTATTGAAGCTTGGCCCTGTGGCACGAGCCCTAGCCACGCAGAGAGAAAGGGTTAAGGCAGAGAGAGAGTGAGGACGGAGTGAGAGTGAGGACGGAGTGAGAGTGATTGGACGACGAACGAAACGGTAGTAAACGAACGAGCACCGAAGCCACTCGGTAACTTTAATACCAGACGAGAAGTTAAGGAGACACCGCGGTGACAATGCCAGCGCGAGCGGCACGAGCGCCTACGAAGAGAACGAGTCTCCGGACCCTCAGCATGACGACGCGAAGCTCAACGACGCCACCTGTGGTACCCAACAAGAGTCGTCAACCCCGGACGCGCATACGACTCAGCACTGGTGACGGCAGCGGCGGGACTGACGAGGTGGCTTTCAGCAGCAACGTCGCGATAGCACCTGTTGGAGATGGTGGCGCAGACGGCAGCAGTGAAGATGACGACGATGTGTTCGACGATGGCAACGGCCAAGGAGGTGGCCAGGGCAACGGAGAAAAAAACGACGGCGGAAGTAACGGAGGAAGCGACGGCGGGCAACCGGGCGATGACGAGACGCACACAGCAGGGGCGGCAGCAGCAAACCGGGGTCAAGATGACGACGACCTGGCGTCGATGGACTGGTGGGATGCACTCACCTCAGGCCAGCAGAGATCCATGATGCGACGCTTTATGGGTCGACCAGCTGCGCCGGCACCCGCGCAACCGACGCAACAACCCATTCTGACACAAGCACCGACGACGGACGCTCCACGGCGTCACAAGATGAAGAGGCTGCACACTGAGGATTTCAGCGGTAAGTCCAGTGAGTCGGTCGAGGCTTGTCTGGCAACGATTCCTCAGGAGGTAGAGCGACAAGGTGGACTGAGGGGCGACTCGTGGACGGCAGAAGAGCTGTACTACGGCGCGACCGCACACATGAAGCATGTAGCAATCAAGTGGTTAATAACTCTTTCGGACACCATGCGACCACAGGACCACAACCTGAGTTAACTGGTACGACAGATACGGAAGAAGTACGGCAGCCGTGACAATATGTTCAGAATTCGGCAACGACTAGCGGCGCGAGTCCAGCAGCCGGGTGAGCGACTCAGCGACTACGCTACCAGCTTGACGAATATCGGCTTCGGCAAACGCATCCCAGCCGAGTCCTACGTGGAGGACTTCATAAACGGAATCAATAACGAGACGACGGCGACGCAAGTGAGGGCATACGAACCTGAGACGCTGGACGAGGCCGTGCAGTTCGCGGAGTACAATTGTGGCGAGTACGGAGAGGGCTTCAAGGTGACCGACTGGCGCGTGGCAAAGAGGCGCTACCGGGAACACCGCGAGTACGGAGAGGACGAAGACGCGTCTCCGCCGAAGAAGAAATCCACGAATGAGGCGGCCGAACCATTGGACTGGAAATAGCTGGGCTTAGGGCTCGGAGGAGAACAGCCACCCACTTTTGACACGGATGGCAAGATCGTTAGTAGATTGGCGAAAACTGCTAAGAATGACCCTCTCTCATTGGCTGCCCTTCAGGCATTACAGTTGGTCTCTGCCGGGTTAGGGAAGGAGAATACCAAGACAGCGGCGAACAAAGCAAAGACAGCGCTGGCGTTGGAAGTCATACCGGAAAAAAATGCGGCGGCGAGCAATCAGCCACTGCGGCAGTCGCAGCAGAACGGAGGAACGGGCAGCAACGGATGGCGGAACCAGGGCAACAACGGCAACTATGGCAATGGCAACTATGGCGGCGGCGGTTTCAACGGTAGTGGCAGCAGCAGCTGACGAGGGTTTAGCAGTAACCGCGGTTTTGGCGGTGGACGTGAGTTTGGCGGAGGCCGAGGAGGAGGCTCGAACCTAGCTAATTATGGTCCGACTGACACGCGCTCGATCTTGCAGCGCAATACCGAGTCCAAGTACAGCTACGGCGGCGAAGTTGGCCACTGGTGGTGAGAGTGTGCCCGGCGGTTGGTGGATGAACATGCATTGTAAGCGACCCAACCGACGCCATTGGCGGCGAGCAGCAACTAGGGGGGCGGCAGCGCAGCTACAGCAACGCCACCGACGGCTCTGGGAAACTAGTGGCGGCAGCGAAGGCGGGGGTTTCGCTGTCGGAAGATGCCACCAACCCCTGAGTAGGAGAAGGGGAGCCCGTGCGGCTGCGTGATCGTTTAGCGATAGCACGGGTGGCGACTGAGGAAGCAAGTACTCGGACCCAGGGGAAGAGCGCCGACGTAGACATCGGAGGCACAATAACCAAGGGGAAGAGTAGAGGAGTGGAAGCAGAGGAGCAGAGCGACGAGCCTATCGCCGTGACTGAGAAGGAATGCGAAGCATCGACGGTGAATGTACTGGTGACGGGTGTAAGGAGGCGTGCGAAGGCTATGTGCACGTCAGTGTCAAGTGACGCTGCAGGCGCGTGCGCGGAAGATACGACAGAAGAACCAGTGAAGAAGAAGCGGGCAACGGCAAATGCGTCCCAAGTGACGTTGACGATGAGTGGTGGACGGACTATGGCCGCGCGACGACGGAAGCGGCGGAGAGAAGCGGACCTGGCGGCAGTCCAGAATATCCTGACGAGCGAGCTGAGAGAGCGCCGAGAAGAGCGAGCGAAGGTGCTACGCCTTGCAGTACGGCAAGCACTCGACGTCCTGCCAAAAGCTGAGCGAGTTGTACGGCGGGGAGAACATGTACGGGCACTACGCGTCGCCGTGGCTACGGTGAAGGAGACAGAGGGACGCGCGGTCAAGAAGAAGAACGGACAACGGAGAAGACAGTCAAGACCCGCGACACCGAGGAGGAGATCGCCAATGCCGACTGGTTGGCGTGTGTGCAGCGCTACGCGGAGATGTGCCC